TTTTGTTGTTATATACCTGGATGACTGAGAAAACAAACTTTGTGTTTATGCAGTCACCATTTTTATAAAATTATTTAACATCAAACAAATGATCTGAGTAAGTTCAGGATTCAAGACGTCATAAGAGAAAGATTACTAAAGGGGTGAGTACTTTTGCAACCTATTGAAGTTTTAAAATAGCTGAGAGCACATAAATTTCAAAATTCTACAAAGGACCAAATGTGCAAAACTGCCATGATTACCAAAAGTTTACAGATATTCTTCAGTTTAACACAAACAATTTCTACTGTGCCTCATAATGAATTCAAAACTTGCAACAAAATTGATCTCCACACTGAAAGTGTTGGGAAACTATTATTTTAGCACGTCAGCCTAATACAGTTTGCACTATTTAAACAGTTTAAGACCAATGCTTTTGATGAGCTTTTTTTCTAAGATATGCAAATGAATGGAAATAAATTCAAGAACTCATCACACAGTTTATGTAGATAGCTTCTGTCAATTGCTTTGAGGTTAGCGAATCGTCTCCAGGCCTACATTTAGCAAACACTTCAGTCATGTTCTGCTGCAGTCTAAAGTAAATCACACAAGTAAATACCATAATTAAGTTGCCAAGAGGAGTTTTATTTAGATGTTACCAAAAAGCCAAAGATTTCATTGGACTGCAAAATGGAAAACTCTCAAGCATTTTAAAGTTTTTTCTATGACTTTAATAGAAGCTATTTTAATCAAAGCAAAATAAAGCACAGAGCTATGCACATAAATCCACATAAAAGAGAGGAAAACAACACAAATGTAGGGTCTATAATATCTCCAACATAAGGACAACATGCACTGAGACAGTATGGAGGAACAATAACTACAAATAAGAAAAATGTACTGAAGATTTAGCTGCGATAAACTCTAACATGTCTGTTAAATCTGGATTTATCCAGTCAATTCTGGGGTATCTAGAGTGAGGAAGGTTAAAGTTAAATGTGCTGATTACCTCACTAAAGGGAAAAGAACTGTATAAAGTTAGCACTCCCATCTTTCATCAGGGAAAATGTGAAAAAAAGAAGAGAAAATGTGAACAGAATGAACAAGAACAACAAATAAGACTTAAAACTAATACAACAGGGGGAAAAAAGTTTTACAGTCGTGATGCAGTTGGTGTGTTTGTCTTGTACCTTGGCCAAAGTCATCGTCCGAGTCGGAGTCCGCGGAGTTCGCATCGTGTTCATGCCTTTGCCCTTAGTGTGGGCAAGGTTGCCTGTGAAATAATCAAAATATTATTGAAAATATCAGTTATAAACGGATCGAATAGGAGTTGAGTGACACAGGCAGAAACAATCAGGTAAAATTTAACTGAGTTTATGGTCAGAGAACCAGTTTGACACAACAATCTTTAAATGGGAGGTTTTTAGATAAATATAGGATAAATTTAACTTAAATTAGGAGATCCTATAATGTGAAGTGATAACTTAAGAGAACATACATAAAGTGAAAATGTACACAAAAAAAAAAAAAAAAATCTCAAACAACTAAAAATATGGGGAGTCAAATTTTTATACACACTTTGGACAGTGTATATTAAAACACAAAGATTGTATAAGCTAATCCCGAATCAAGAATAAAATAATAATAACTAGAGAAATGGCATTTCATGTGGAAGTGCAGTGTGAATGCTTATTGCAGAAGAACTTGCTGAAAAACAGCTGAAACAGAACAATCTGAAATGAGCATAAAACGCTTAAATTTGCATAAAGAAGCTCAAATTGGCATAAAGAAGGCTGAAAGTAACAGAAATTATAATGAAAAACTTGAATTTATCTGAAAACAGCTGAAATTAACTAAAACATGTTAAAATTTAGCTGAAAGGTTAGAACAAGTTTAAATTAGCAGAAGAAAACAGAAAGAACATGTTTGCCCAATTAGGCTGAAAGAAGTAAAAATTAGCACAAAAAGTGGACATTATCTGAAAAAAGCTGAAATAAAAAAATAAAACAGCTGAAAAGTAGCTAAATAAGCAACAAGAAGTTTAAGTTACAAGAAGGAAGTGGAGAGAGCACATTTTTGCTGAATTAGGCTGAAAAAAGTATAAATGAGTGCAAAAAAAGTGGAATTTGGTGGAAAAGCTAAAATTTGCATAAACAACTAAACAGTAGCAGAAATAGCCAAAAAAGCCTAAACTTGCAGAAATAAGCTAAAAGAAGCCCAACAAGCTGAAACTAGCTGAAAGAAGTTAGAAGAAGCACACAAATGTTGTTGTTAGCTGAAATAATCTGAAAGGAGCAGAAAACAGCTGAAAAAAACCCAGCTGAAATTAGCTGAAAGTAGCTGAAAAAAGTTTAAAATTGCACAAAGAAGTTGAAAGAAGCTGAAGCAGAGCAAAATGTGAAAGGAGCAGTAAAAGGTTGTAAACAGATCTAAAGATTTGAAGTATGTAATATGAGCTCAATTCATTTCCTATGAGAAAAACATGGCAGAAAAGGCTAAATATTTCTAAAAGCTAAAGTTGCACCAATACCAAAAGTCATAGCACCCTTTTCCTGAATGAACGAAATTATATAAGATTTGTTGAAATAGCACAAAAATGATGGAACAATAAAGGTGGCGAAAAACATACAAAATAAAAATGGATCACAGTAGTGTGAATGCTTCATAAACATTCACATGAATAAATAAATAAATAAATGTAAAAAATTGTGCATAACTTTGCTTTTTAATATTTAAAGGAGAAGAACGTGAAAAAGTCTATGTGAGTTATTGTTGATTTGCTCAGAGACTAAACCTTCACAGTGTGGTGAAACAGCAAAGCTGGATACTAAAGCTGTACTTTTACAAAGCCATTATGAGATTATTGGCTTTATGATTTCATTCTGACACAGCAGGCAGCGTACCCGGTCAAAGAAAACTCACTCTGCCAAAGCTGGCTTATTTATTACAACAAATATTTAGAAACAACAGAGGAAAGCCTTCTTATCTAAGCTAACATTAGCCTGTTGTGCCTGCGGGGTACATGCTGGTTTTAAACTGTTTCATCATGCAGTTGTTTACTTCCTGTTCCACGTTCCAGAAGCCAAACTTGGTGTATTATTGATGCAGAGCTGCTGTCAGTTTAACCTGTTTTGGTGAGAGGGTGAGTGACGAGCTTGCGAACGAGCTCGTTCTCTGACGACCTCAGCAGCAGGATGATATCTGCTGGGAGCATCTCTCTGTTCTTGGCCAAAAACCCAGCAGCGTTGTAAATCACCTTAGAGTTCAGGAGGAAGAAAATGTGAATAAAAGACGACGAGAAGATGGTTAGAGCCAGTTTAAAATGTTGAATAACTTACCTTTCCAGCATAGTGGTGAATCCCAAAGCCGAGGTCCACTCTCTTCGGCCTCCAGAAAGTTATCGTCTTGAGATTGTCCTCAAATTTCTCTAAAATGTCAAAATACAAGAATTTATATTGATTCTGACACTTTAAAAAAAAAATAATTACCCATTTGGAGGTAAAGCACCACTTTAGACATTAGTTTAATTTTTAGGAATATTCACAGTTTAAATATAAAAAGAATATTCACTTAAGAAAAGTTGAACACCAATCTGAAAAGAAAAGGTGCTAAGGGGGTCTCTCTCTTGTGGAACTGATGAGGGACTCACCTACGAGCGTCTGATCAGTGGCCTGCGGGAACCGACTCTCTTCATCCAGCAGTGAGAGCAAGCCCATGGGTTTCTGCAGGAACAGGTCCAGGAGAGGCCGGTTGTCCTCGTACTCGATCATCCGAGCGTCGACCTCTTCATTCAGGTACTCATCCTAAACAGAAGGAGAGAACAATGAACGGGAACCTGAACTCTGCTGCATTCGTAAAGAAATACTGTTGGTGTAAATCAACTCTTTCAGGTTGCACAGTGGATCTACAACATGGTTTTGTTTGGAGGCTCATTTGTAAGCAACATATATTCAACATATTTTTCATTATTTTATCATTTTTTCTTTACTTTTTGTTCTTTTTTCCTTTCTCATTTTAATAAGTCAATGTTTATGCACAGGACCCTTAATATGGAATAATGAATTGGACTTTTACTTGTCATGTTTTCATATTTTATACATCAAATCTTGCTTCTTCTTCTTTCGGCTGCTCCCTTCTTCGGGGGTCACTACAGTGAACAACTCGCACGAAAACTTGGCAATTATTTTTACGCCAGATGTCCTTCCTGACACAACCACAGACCATCGAGCTACCACAGCCTTCTGTGTGGAGCAGAGAGCTGCCACCTAGGACACCCAGGGAAGCAGATGGTGGAGGTTGAGGTCCTTGCTCAACAGCCCAGAGTGAGGCAAATGAAGGTGGAGGCAGGTGAGGGTGTTTTACCTTTCCCACCCACATTTTGATGTTTTTTTCTTGCTAAGCACTTTTGGATAGATGCAAACTGCATTTCGTTGCTTTGTACCTGTGACGTGTGCAATGACAACAAAGTCGAATTCTATTCTATTCTATTCTATTCTATTCTATTCTATTCTATTCTATTCTATTCTATTCTATTCTATTCTATTCTATGTTGTCGGTGTGGGGAGTTAAACCAGCGACCTTCTGATCACAGACACACCTTCTCTAACCTCTGATTCTCTCTTTAACCACTCCCCCACATATCAAACCTTACTAATCACAAAGAAGTTGTTGTGTCATATATGCCCAATAACACATTTAGGTAACACCTTACAATAAGGTATGCAAAGTTTGATTAACTACTAGGAAACGCCTCAGGAACAAATCAGGAGCTAATGGGTAGTTAACCAGTACTTACTGGGAAACACACAGCCAAGCCAAGCCAAGTACACGGAAACAGTAGGTAATGGTCAGGTAGTGATTAAGTAATGGTTGATTCCTCAGTAAGTACTTGGTATGATGCTTCATGACATCAGTGAACAAAATAATAGCCAGGCAATGATTTGGTACTCAGTAAGTGAGAGTCAGACAGAGTTAAGATGACACCAGTACAAGATTATGAAATTGATAATCAGTGGTAAGAATCCAATAAAACCACTAATCACTAGGAAACAGGTTTTTGACAATTATGAGCTGTGACCTCACTGGTGCAGGGTTTATTCAGAACCCACATGGAACATTTCTCCTCTGTTTCTGTGGTAACAAATGTAGTGAACCTGATCTGACCTCAAATTCTGGTCAGATGAACAGAGACTGTTATTTCATTGATCTGCATCCAGAAATACAGTTTGAGCCATCTGGTGACTTTCTTTCTTGAATTAATCAAGTAGAAAAGACAATTCTCTATGATCATTACTATTTTACAAATGTTTGATAATCAAATTGTGGTAGTTCACTCAATGTTTACAGGTTGAAGAAAACTACTCATTTTTATTTTACATAAACAGTAAGTAATGATTTTATTCCTCATTCAAAGAAGAAATCAGGTTAATATGCATTTCTTGATTTTTTGTAAGTATGTTAAAGGTCGGCTCTCGGTCAACTAAAATGTTTACTGAGAAAAAATGTCATGTTTAACTATTTGAGAAGATACAGCAGAGTGAGACTCCACGAAGTCTGGGTTTTTGCAATAATCTTTCTGTCTGTTTTTAAACAATCTCATTCTCTGACCTCGAATTCGATAACATCTTACATCACAAACCACACCTCTATTCTGATTCATCCACGAATCAGAAAGCTCTAAATTGACCCGGAAGTCAACTCATTTAAAATGTGGCAACTTCCCGGTTCTTGTAGAGAGTGCTAAAGTCTGAAGCCAGACGCTGAAGATTAATGGAGCAAAAAGAGTCTGATGCTGCAGAGCTCTGAGAGTTCCATACAGAATGCTGATGAGTTGATGGAGTTAGAGTTCTTGGATGCAAACGCGTTCAGGATGATCCAGAGACGTTTTGGGATTATAACTTCTGTTTGAACAACCTCGTACGACTCTCGAAGGATTTCAGCTGCTCTCAACGGAGACGCTGAAAGAATCAAGGAAGGATCCTATACCGAGCTGATTTATCATCAACCAGGTAACGGTTTCTACTTCGACAAGCGTACCGTCGCAAGCTGAGATCTGATGGAGCGTGCACGTTTTCTGGTCAAACAGATTAATTCCCTCACAAATCTCTCTATAAGATAAATCTCCATTTCCATCTTAAACTCTCCTTTCTCCTAAAATCAGTACAGATATTTAGAAATATCTGAAGCTAAGTCCTCAATCACCGCCGTGTGATTGATGTCCATTATTTGTGAAACTTGTCTGTTATTATTTTCATATTTTGCCAAATTAATGTAAATGTTTGATGTTAAACTTTGATTCTGAAAATAAATGGCCGCATTCATTTTGATGGGTCAAAGATAAATAACGTCTCTCGTTACATTTCTGTTAAAATTCAATGCACGACATTTACACAGTCAGAAAGATGAGGAACTCGTGAAAAAGTATGAATATATATATCCTATATGACATACTACAGTTGGTGGCCCGTAACATGCTCATAAATGACTGTAAATTCGTGTAAAGATTGATTTTTTTTACGTGTTGGCATGAAAAGTAACAGTTTTTCTGCTGTGCTGAAACGCAGCTCAAGCTGCACCGCCTGAAGTCAAAACGCTGCATGTTTTAAGCGTGCTGGAATGTGATGCTTGGGAGCTCACAGAAAACTGAAATAGTGTCATAAGTCTTTATGAAAGCTGAATTTGTACGCCTGTTATCGTAACTAAAAAGGTTTTGAGCTGGGTGAAAACGTTATTCTGTTTAAAAGTACGGAGGTTCTGCTGAAAGACCCGGCTGTGGTCCAGTTCGGTTCTGTTAAGTTTGAACGAGTATTTTGAATAGATGGATAAACGTTTTAAAGACTGGACGCCGACTCCGCAAAGCTCAGAGTTGATTCGTTACATTTTTTAACAGAAAAAGTGCATTTTGACAGTTTAAAAGACGAAAAGTTGACGAATTTTAGTTCACGTGAACCTAGCATGCTAGTTGTTACTAACGTTTCCTGATTGGTTGAATATTGCTGTTGTGGAGCGCTCTGATTCGCTGAGAAGGTTGACTGACGTGGCTACGTCATTTCCTCTCAACCCTGCGCTGCTTTGTCATTGGTGATTTCAGTCACGTGACCCGGAAATGAAAATTCGTTTTCATAGGGAAATAAAATCTGCTTTTTAAAGCTGAAAAGCGCTTTAAAAGTGTATTTTGACACGCTGGTTAAGTTCTTCGAAGCATACTCGCTGAAATTTTGCCACGTTAGAGTTTAAAATCCGTCATTAATTGATGTTTTTGAACAACGCTAGCGATGCTAATTTTTAGCTAACAGCTAACGACCGGATGAGTGACGTGTCACGTCACTTCCTCCATGTCGGAAATGAGCTTTGCCATGCTTAAAATCACTAAATAAAACTGCAATATTGTCCCAAAAAACTCATGTTCATGCTATAAAGTCGTGCTTGTTGAAACTACGCCACGTTTACGCTTAAATTCGTTCAGAAATGTTGATTTTAACCGAGTTTAGCCGAAGCTAACTTTAAGCTAAGCAGCTAACAACAGGATGTCAACCGAACGTCACAGGAAGTCGTCATAGACTCCTGCTGGTAGAAAGCTAAACACTACACCCTCCTGGGGAAACTTAAAATCACAGTTTCACTTCAGTTTTAGGTTTAAAGAGTGAAATTAAACGTTTTATTTTTCTGTAAGGCATTTTTGAGTTAACAAACTTCCTCAAAGATGAATAAACACTGTTATCTTGCATTTTAAAAGTTATAAAGGTATTTATGCAAAGAGCATTTACCAAAGAGACTTTATTCACTGGTAATCCCTTATAAGGTACAAAATAAAGTTAGGAACTTTTTAAAAAATAGAAACGGTTCAAATATTCACAGAGTTGAAAAGTTTACTCATTTTGCTTGAAAGATAATACACGTTTAATTGCAAAATCACTAAATAAGAGTAAACTTATCAGGAAAAAGAAACTTTTCTGTTTAAGTTGCCACCTAAAAATAAATCTTCCTATTTAATTTTAAATAGAAGCCACTGACAGGAGGACAACAGGAATAACAGTTTTTCTGAGGAAGGACTGATTAATCCTGATACATCATCAACTTTTCTTTTTCTTTTCACAACTTAGTTCTATGAGTAACTGTTAAAATAGCAAATTTCTGGAACAGAACGGTTTAAAAAACATTTTAAACCGATGATTGCTGTGAGACTTTTAGAAAAATTGCAGGTTTATAAAAATTCAGTGCTTTAGAGTAAAATACACTAAAAAGAGCTTGGTAACTGGTACCTGTTGAAAAATAAGCACATACAAGTAACACTGCCGAGAGCATTTACTTAAATATTCATGAAATGGGGTAAAACCTGAGAAAGGTACCCACATTTGAATAAGTTGACTTATAACAGTACTTCTGTGTAAACCCAAAAAGCTAAAATAGTGTGAAAACTCATTGACTCGAATACAAATATTTACCTGTAAAATATCTGAAGCCTGCAACTGTTTTAAACAGAAAAAGTGCCACACAGTGAAAAACATGACAGGTGTGTTAGGAAAAGACTTTGACCCTTACGGGATGACGGACTGCCTGGAGAATGCGTTAGCGCTTCTGACGGCACCCGTACATTCACAGATGAAACAGGCAGAGCGCATGAACCCAAAAGAGTTATTGGACAATCTGAAGGAGGTTGCAGAAAGTGTGACCTCTACAGAAATCACAATGCCAAACTATGAAAAGCTGGCTAAAATTGCAATTTTGCTGAAAGAATCATTCTATACGGTTGTTGAGAAAACTGATTACCTTGCAATAAGGTTAGACAGTGAAAAAGAGGTTG